TTCCTGGTCCGTGATGACATTTTAGGGGCGGCGTCCTGAACGGGACAGGTGAGAAACAGCACTCATCTGCGAGGAGTGTTCATTCGTTTATGCAGCGCTAGAGAGTAAAGATGGCCAACTGGATAATAAATCACGGGCTGGGCGCTTTCATTGTGGTATTGAGGCGTTGTTTTGATTGCAATTTGAACAAAAAATGATAATGCTGTTAACTGTAAACCTGAAGTCGATCTTTTTATCTTACACTATTGATGATCTGTATTTGTTAGGTGGTGTGGATGGCCATCAACATCTTTCTGTTTGTCCACTTCTACTTATTCTATGATCAGGACCCCGAATTTGAATACACTCGGGAACTTTTAGGGGTAAGTTTGATAGAAAATACACTTTTTTCAAAGCATTCTCTGAGAGAAAATAAGATACACTATGGAAATAAATAAGGAAATATTTTATTTTAAATATTTCCTTAATTTATATTGGTTCCTTATTATAAATAATAAGAAACCAATATAAAGGAGTATATTTTATAATATATATATATATATATATATATAATTTTTTAATATATAATATTTTTATAGAAAAGCAGAGTGAGAGTATTAAAAGGGTATTAAAAGTATTTAAAGGGACTGTTTCTTTTAGTCTGCATTGCCCTGGGCCAGAGCTCCAGCTGCTGTCCTCAACTTCAACTGCATGCTGATTCTTTTACCAGTTTGCCGCAACCTGCTGTCTCTTATCCGTGGCTCTTTCATGGTGAGTTTCTGCACACTTGTACCTTTGTGTTTGAGATAGTATGAGACTGTCTGTAAGTATTTGCCCTCCTGTCCATTTTTTGTTTAGTGCTGTGGACGAACAGTGAGAAAACAGCTGGACAAAAACCTTTCTTTCCACAAATTGGTCGGATACATGATTGCCCTAATGACAGGTAAGCAACCTGTCCTTGAAAATTAATTGAAGGAAATCATTGTACATAAACCTGAATGACAGTATGTTTTACAAGGGCTCTCATTCACGATAGCCATTCACACATGCATTTTTTACATGCTACAGGATACATAATTAAACAATTTTCTCATTGATAACAACACATCAATCACATCTGAGAGGTAGTCTGAGTATTTCACCCCTGATAACACTGCCGGCAGTGTTATTCTTCTAGGCCAAATCTGGATAAACATTGACCAAGTTTTGATTTTGTAAGAAGCTGACTGTACTGTAGTATTTAACACGTTTGTGTCTGGCTAAAGAAATATACGTTTTATCCATCAGGACATGCCAGGTTTTTATTTTTTTTATTATTTTTATGCTATCACAATGTGAAAAGACAGATCAGAAAAGAAAGAAATAATACAACTAAAAAATAAACATCCAAAGAGGTTTTTGTCAACTTCATGAGTTAGAGCAAGAGGGGGTTCTTCATGGATATAAAAATCATATTCAACTTAATCATATTTTCAAACTTAAATTCAGATTTGCCAGTAAACTATTTTAATAAACAAATTTGAATTGTTGTAACAGCTATTTTAGGTTTTTACATTTTTACTTTGACATGGTATCTGATTTTGACCTTATGAAATGCTTCTTTAATGCAGCGGTTCACACTGTCGCTCATTTGCTTAACGTGGAGTGGTATAGCAACAGCTTAAATGGGCGATATGGGCCTCTCGCCGGGAATCTGTCCATGCTGGACGACTCCCGTGAATTAAATACTACTTACCTTAATCCCATTCGCTCCAGTTCTACGGTGAGTTGCTGTACTTTTCATTGCTTTTATTAAGGTTTTTGATTTACACCCATTCAAACATTTGGAGTTCAATAAGATTACTTTTTTTTTCAGCAAGGATGCATCAAATTGATCAAAAGTGACAGTAGCTAGACATTTATAATATTTAAAAAGATTTTTATTTCAAATAAATGCTGTTCTTTTTAACTTTCTATTCATCAAACAATCCTGGGGAAAAAAACATGTTTCCACTAAAATATTAAGCAGCAAAACTGGTTGAACGGATCATAAAAAGTGTTGACTGAATGTTCATTGAGCCTATTCAGCCTATTATAATTATATCTGAAAGATCATGTGACTTGAGTGATGGCTGCTGAAAATTCAGCTTTGCCATCACAGGCATAAATTACATGTTTTAAAAAACACTTACCAACCCCAAACTTATGAACGGTATGTTGCAACTGAGTTCTATTCTGTTTTTTTTTTTTCTCTGATGTGTGATATGCCGGCTCTAATCTTGTTTCCTTCTTCTCCAGACTCCAACGGTTTTTGTATTCACCTCTATCGCGGGTCTCACAGGTGTCGTCATAACTCTTTCCCTCATCCTTATTATCACTTCCTCAATGGAAGTCATACGCAGAAGCTACTTTGAGGTCTTTTGGTACACGCATCACCTCTTCATCATTTTCTTTGCCGGCTTAGTCTTCCACGGTGCAGGGTAAGGACTATTTACTGGTTGAGTCCAATTTTAAAACTGATTTATAGTAGATTATTAAGAGCAAGTTAAACATGCGCTTTTGGTTTATGTCCAGACGAATTGTGCGAAGTCAGGAAGAGACCGATCCACCTCACAATAACTCCTTCTGTGAAGACCAGCCAGAGAACTGGGGGAAAATTCCTGAATGTCCAATGCCACAGTTTGAAGGAGGGTTTCCTCAGGTAAAAGTTGTTAAATTTACAAGTGATAGATTTATTTTTGGTGATGGCTGATTTCAATTGGCTGAAACTTTTCTGTTGCAGACCTGGATGTGGGTGATTGGACCGATGATCATTTACCTTTGTGAGCGGCTGCTACGTTTCATTCGCTACATGCAGCCTGTCAGTTATAGAAAGGTGTGTTGTCATTAACGTTTTGACAAAACTACAAACATATAGTTCATCTGAACCCCACCACGATAGCTCTGTAATCAGAAACTGTATTCGTTCTTGAATGCTAGATTGTAATCCGCCCATCCAAAGTGCTGGAACTACAGCTGGTCAAGTCTGGATTCAAGATGGAAGTCGGCCAGTATGTGTTCCTCAATTGCCCAGCCATCTCTCAGCTGGAGTGGCACCCATTCACCATGACATCAGCCCCAGAGGAAGACTTCTTTAGTGTGCACATTCGCTCAGTTGGAGACTGGACTGAAAAGCTCATCAGTATGGTCCAAAACCTACCAGAGGGTGGGCAAGGACCTAAGTAAGTACTCTTTGCTATTTTACTTATTCACTGGGCACAACATATACATGCAATCTTCTTAATTTTAACTTTAAAATATGCATGAAAGTTGGGATGGCCTTTCCTTCCCTATTGTGATGCATGTCTGAGTGAAACAAGAATGTAAGGCGGGGCTTGATTGATCAGAAATCTCATGTGATCTCATGTGAGTGATCGAGGGATGGGGAAAGTTGTTTTGATCATCAATTATGAGGGAACACTTATTTAAAAAAAAAAAAAAACTATGACGTGCATAGATAAATAAGTCATTTATAATAAACACTGACTATTCCATAAAAAAATAAGAATTGTCCATTTTGATTTCTTGGTGAAGTGTGAAAACGAAATATCAAGAATTATGTATGGATCTTTTATTTTTGTGTCAGGATGGGTGTGGACGGTCCATTTGGAACCGCGAGCGAGGATGTATTTGATTACGAGGTCAGCATGCTGGTGGGTGCTGGGATTGGAGTGACCCCATTTGCCTCTATCCTGAAGTCCATCTGGTATAAGTTTAAAGACTCCGACCCCAAACTACGAACAAAGAGGGTAAGGACATCTGGGATTCAAATAAAGAAGTTAGTGCAAAGGTCAAGTACAATAACTCCTGTTGTCACTGTTATATTATAAAAGTCTATATGGCCTAGATAACAAAGTCCGGCATTTCTTGAAACTCAAGTTTTTACCATTTCTCACCTTTGTGTTTAGATTTACTTCTACTGGCTCTGTAGGGAGACACATGCCTTTGAGTGGTTTGCAGATCTACTACAAGTCCTTGAGAGAGAAATGGAGGAACGAGGAATGAGGGACTTCCTCACGTATAAGCTCTATCTCACCGGATGGGACCAGAGTCATGTAAGTGCAAAAAAACAAATCTCTTTTTATGTGTGTACTTGGAGTATGAGTAATGTGCGCAAGTCACAGAACATCTAATCTTGCGTTTACAGGCAGACCATGCAATGGTGCATTTCGATAAGGATACAGACATCATCACCGGCTTAAAGCAGAAGACTCATTATGGCCGCCCGAACTGGGATAGAGAATTTGAGCAAGTTCGGCAAGAGAACCCGTCGTACGTTTTAAACTTATTGCTCCTTACATAATGATGCTCATCAAATTTCTCAACACTAACATTTTGTTTTAAATATCAACAGGTCTGTGGTTGGAACATTCTTGTGTGGCCCACAAGCCTTAGCAGAGGTCTTGGAGAAGAAATGTGTGAAGTATTCGGACGTGGATCCACGGAGAACCAAGTTTTACTTCAACAAAGAGAATTTCTGAGGAAATATTTTACAGGAACCTAAATTCTCTTGAAAGACTTGTGCACAAGGGATTGTGTTCTTCAGCAGTATATCATGATTTGTCATTTCTCAAATCTTTCCTTGTAAGTGAGTCACCATTACTGTGACACGACTTGAAAAGTGACAACTTCCTGCTGGAAAGTAAACAACTTACTGGAAGGGACTAATTCCACACCTGGGTCAAAAGTCCTCTCATTGTATATCTTTTTTTTACAAAGTTCCTGGTTAGAAATGAATCACCAATTATTAGGGAAATAACACCCTGAGTGTATTGCGTTTATAAATGCCTCCTTGTGTATATACTGAACAGGTACTGAGCTTTTGGAAATTGTAACTCCTTGTGAAAGTGAAAAACAACCACACATTATCTGATCTAGCATGACACATCTGGTTAGTCACTGGTTTGTATGTTGTAATCATACAAGCGTGTTATTTGTATACTGTACATTATAAATATTATATATTCTTTGTTCTAAATTGTTTTATAAAAAATAAAATCCAGTTTATTTCACAATTTAGTTCTTTATTTTTTTCATTAGCAGTAGATAGTAAAACACTATTAATAAACAACTGATTTCACTAAAAAATAAAAATATCACTAGAAAACAAAAACGAATGTTACAGATCTTGCAAAACAATACAAAAGCATCCAGGTGATAGGTTGTCTGTTGTTCTCTTGCACTTACCCAAATTAACCATGTCTCATTCTGTTACATAACAAAAAAAAAAAACACTGTTTCATTCACTTGAATGTCAGAGCCTGTAATTTTATCATAATAACGAGTTTTAGGACAAATGAGAAGGAAACAAAAAGAGTCGTCTTCAGGGGGCGCCTGCTGTCTTCTGAATCTGTTCCTTTAGTATCAGGATACTCTGTCTCTGCTCTGGTGGCAACATGGCGATCTGTTCTGGGGTCAGCTGCAAAACCTGCATAATCAAGGCAGCCTGGAAATGTGTAACAGCACATTGATTAGTATCTACAGGACAGAAACCTTGTTGTTTCATTAAAGATTCAAATTGAACCGTGGTTAACTTGGGAACTTTTAAATCAACATGCCAACAAGTAATTCTAGAAAATCTGGTCAGTGATTCACTTAAAAGGAAGGAAGTAGTGCTGCAGATATGAAAAGTGTGGAGAAAAATAAATAAATGACCCACCTTTTCGTGGTCTTGTGATGACACATCAGGCGTAGGACCCTGTTAAAAGACAAGACAGGATTGAAACATGCAGATATTTTTAAGTGCTGCAAGCCGAACACTGGTCTCTGAGAGAGGGTCAGTGGAAATGAAATGCATATATCATTTTTGGGGAAAGTCATGTTTTTGGTCAGTTAGACTTTTTTGAATATCTTTACCGTCACATTTTTTTTTTTGAAAATGTGACAGTAAAGACTATATAAAAATATATATTTGATATAAATGCTGTTCTTATGTACTTTATAATAAATCAAAGATTCCTGGGGAAAAAAAAACGTATCATTGTTTTCAAACATTTAGCAACACAACTTTTTTTCCCCCAACATTAATAATACAAATAATAAGAAATGTTTCCCGAACAGCAAATCAGCATGTTAAAATGATTTCTGAAGGATCATGTGACATTGAAAACTAGAGTAATGGCTGTAGAAAATTCAGCATCCAGGAATAAACTACATTTTAAAATATATAATAGAAAACAGTCATTTTGAATTGTAATTATATTTCACCACATTACAGTTTCACACTGCATTTCTTATAAAAAAAAATGCAGCATTGGTGAACATGAGACACCCCAAACTTCTGAATGGAAGTGTTCATTTGATAAAATCTTGTGCGTTTTGTCTTTTTAAGGACTTAATTGTGTATAGTACTATTTTCTGTAAAGATGCTGTAAAACTATATTTATTGTGAAAAGTCATATTCATATAAATATGTACTCAATACAATGTTTCTCTAATAATTTAATACTGAATGTGAAAAAGAGCTTATAACCTAATACACATTTCCAGATCATTTTTAATCATTTGTTTTTCTCTTTAGTACAACGACAAATAAAAATTGCAAACCTGCTTTCCTTAAATAATCACGTTTAATACAACAAACACAGGTTCTGTTGACTTGAACACATAGCTGCCTTTATATTTTAGCAAAGGGGTCCCTTCACAAGGCTATGATAAAATTTTTAGTATTAAAACGTTTGAGAAAAGGCACTATAGGAGTGCGGAAATCTTACTGGTCTCACTGCTGGAGGTGCACTTTGCCCCATGCCGTGGGGCGGAGGACCCTGCATTCCACCAGCAACAGGAACCCTCTGGCCAGATATGGGACCCCGAGCATCAACAGCTCTTGGATCACGACCTTGTAAGAGAAATTCTTCAATCAGTTTTCTTTCAGTAAGGAGCAAAACCAGTATATTACAGATATACAAACCAAATCAACAAATGTAGTGAAACCACATCTTCAAGTACCTCTTGCCTCCATGGGTGGACCACGCTGGTCCATCATAGGACCTCTAGGTTCTCCCATCATGGGTCCTCCTCTCATGTCAAGAGGACCACGCATGTCTGGGGGAGCCATATGCATGGGCGGTCCCTGATGTTGCGGGGGGCCTCCGATGTAACCACGCCTGTACGTGAACAATAAGCAAAATAATAAGCTTTCATTATGAACTTAAACTGTAAAATCAATAAAAAATTGCCATAAACGTCTGATATACAGTTGTACACATTACCATTCAATAGTTTGGGCTCACTTTTGTTTTAAAGAAAGCAAGGATACAAAAGAGACTGTAAAGATATTATTTACAAAAGACTTCCATTTCAAATAAATATGGTTCTTTTGAACTGTCTATTCAAAGAATCCTGAAACAAAATGCATCACAATTTCCACAAAAATAGTTTTAGATAACTGTTTTTAACATTTATATGAAGAAATGTTTGAGCACCAAATCGGCACAATAGAATGATTTCTAAAGTCAAGTCAAGTCAAGTCAAGTCAAACTTTATTTATAGAGCACAAGTTTAACACAACCGTAGTTGATCCAAAGTGCTTTCCAGTACAATAAAATAGTTCAAATAAAATAAAATAAATAAAGCAAAAAGAGATAAAAGCAAGTAGCAAAACCTTTGGTGTATCGACATATACAACCTGTAGAACACCGACTAATTTAAAAATAAATACATGACCTTATTCAAAAGCAAGAGAGTAAAAATAGGTTTTTAAACTTGATTTAAAAGCAGCCAAGGATGGAGAGATCCTGATGGTTAAAGGTAAACTGTTCCAGAGCTTTGGCGCAACAACAGAGAAAGCTCTATCACCTCTTGATTTACACCAAGAGAAAGGGACAGATAAAAGTGACAGATCACAAGATCTTAGTGACCTAGAAGCTGTATATGGTCTAATAAGATCACAAATATAATCTGGGGCCGAGTTATGTAGAGCCTTAAAGCTTAAAGTCTACTCTAAATTTTATTGGTAGCCAATGCAATGAGGCAAGAACAGGCGAGATATGATCCCTTTTCTTAGTTCCTGTTAACAATCTGGCTGCTGAGTTTTGAACCATCTGTAACCTAGACAGTGTAGTCTGAGGTAGGCCAACGTACAGAGAATTACAATAGTCCAATCGAGACGATATTAGTGCATGAATCACAATTTCAAGGTCTTTACTAGTGAGAAAGTTTTTCACTTTTGCTATTGAACGGAGTTGAAAGTAGCTACTCTTTACAACTGCATTTACATGTTTATCGAATTGGAGAAGGGGATCAAAACAGACTCCAAGGTTTTTTGCATTATTGTGCAGGTTAAGGCTAAAGGACCATATGACTATTTTCAAGAACCCCCAAACGAATAATTTTCTATAAATGTTCTATAAACAATGACTTCAAATTATAATTATTTTTTCCATTATATTTTATTTACCTGATTATTATTTCATTTTTTCAGACTGTACAGGGTTAATAACAAATGCATAAAGTGGGAAAAACATTTAAAGCAACATTATGTTATTTTTTTCATTTTGCTCTCGGGGTCCCCCTACAGTTGTTAAACAGTATTGACTTCTACTACTGTCGTAAAATCTGTCATGGTTACACTGACTAGGGAATACACGCGGGCATTTGTTGACAAGCGATACCTCTGAACTCTGCAGAAGGAAGGAGTTCACACATCTTGGGCAGACTCCAGTGTTGCGTGTGAAATGTCTTCATCCCATGTACATTGGCATATACAGTATTTCAGAATGTCTTATGAATATAGTGTCATGGGCTTTTTTTCAAACGTCAAAATATTGCGTAGCTCACGTTTACAAGCCAGCGTCTTTAATAGTAATGTTAGCCTATTGGCTACTGTTTTACATAATGGATATGCTAATTCAATTCAATGTTTTTTGGCAGATAATAGCCATGTCGTCAATATTATAACATCAAGCTCCCATACATGAATCTGCAAATTTGAAAAATCGATTTGCATTAAAGAGCCAAGACACTTTCACCAGAAAAATAAGTAACAAACATGACTATCAGCCTGCAGACATAGGATAGTTAACCTGACCAATTATTTTGTTCATCTAATCATTTATTATTTACTTGCAAGAATGTAGCCCTACCAAACTCAGTAATCAGGATACTTTCAAGTCTCAAGCAGTCTACATTGGTTGCAGCGAGGGGCGAAGCTACACAACACATTACCAAGAGTAAACTGATCGCGGGTACTACAGTGGCCCGCGAGCTCTGTTTCTGACGCACTTCACAATTGGTTTTACTTGCTGCTTAAGCCATGACAACATACAGAGGTAAAAAAAAAAAATGCTCGTTGGGCTTTCGCGTCAGAATTTGAGGAAGTGGGGGAAGTGACGTATGCAGTAAAGCAGTCGAATTTTGTCGTTTTTTTTGTGCTCGGTTTCCTACCCGCTCCCCGAAGTAACATAGTGCCAGTAAAAGCGATACAGACACTGTCAGGCTATGGCAGACCTATTATTCAACCTATTGTAAGTCGATGTACCATCTCAAGGGTTTTGGAAAAATATTCTAAAGGTTTAAAAAACTACAGAGTGCTGCTTTAAGCTAACAAACCTGTGATCATCTATTCTAAATATCACAGCAACACAGCTTTTAGAAGGCATTACCCCGGCTCCACGACGTCTCCAGTAACATTGACCAAAGATCCACCTCGTGGGTCATTCGGACCATCACCAAGAAGGCCTCTGGGTGGGATCCCTGGAGGGCCTTGCGGGGCCCCTCGCATTGGGGCACGTGGGTCTACTATTGGCACTGAAAGGAAAGAACAATTATGATTTTTTTTTTTAAAAGTGCATCCTTTGCAAATCTGACAAGACTCTAAAAGAGAACTCTCTACAGAATCAAAATTATGAAAGAAGCTATTGTCTAAGTGTATTACACAAACATTTAAAAACGTGGACATGCCCTTTTGTGCAAATAAAAACATTAATAAATATGTTGTTGAATTGTCAAGCACAAATTTCCAAAGTATGACACTGTTATGATACATTAGTTCAATTTCCTTGACACTTGAGGAAATGCCCTGAAGGAAATAAAAAAGGTTCTACTTCACAAACAAAAGGACAATGTTTCACCTGTCACTGTGACTTTGATAACAGAGGGTTTCAACCTTCAATCTTTAGAAAGTAAAACTTATCAACACTGATCTCTATTCTGCTATACTGACACATTCCATTAGGTAACAAGACTTCATTGTTCAGGTTTTGGATTTGGACACAAAAGAACGTCAAACACTTTGGTTGCACTTTTGAGACAAAGCAAAACACACCTATGTTTCAACACCATTCATGATTACATATAGCATGGTTATTGTGATACACTGAAGTTCACATACTGCTGTCAATTCAGACATAGAGTTTAGAGGTATGCCGAGAGAAGGAGTGCACATAGGGGTAAGATAATGAGCAGGTGACAGCCTTGACAGCCCTGTTTCGAGCAGACCAGAGTTATACCCATAATACCTTGAGGCCGCTCGATAGCAGCCTGCCCGGCTGCTCCCACAGAAGAGTCCTGAAGGGTTCCTGGGTCAGCATTAAGTAAAGAGAACAGGAGAGAGAACTGAGACAGCGCACAGTAGCACTTACTGATATTACCCAGGGATGCTTGCACTGATGTTTATGGACATAGGTTAAAGCAGGGGCCGATATGGGGTTTTAAATGGCTAATGCAGGTACTACAACCCCAAATCAGAAAAAGATAGTATATTCAAATGAGCTCCGTGCGTTCGGTCTTAAAGGGGCAGCAGTTTAATAAACATGCTTGCTGTGTTTTAATATTAATCAAACAACGGATAAATAAATTAATCACTGCTCTTTATTAAATAGGCTACCCTTTTCAACTTTACAAAAAGATCCATTTATATTTCATTTATACAGCAGGCTAAAGAATATGCAATGTTTTTTTTCCATAGACTGTAAAAAAATAATTTTTTCACAATTGATTACTTTATTTAAATTTCTGTACTTGTTAGATCTAACCGAAAAACTCTAAAAACACTGTTTAATTTGTACCCTTACTTTGTTTTATTTTATTTATTTGTGCAATATCAGTGTAATTTGATTATTTGTTCTGATTTTATAACTGACTGCTTACTTGTCTTTGTACCACTGACCCAGTCCTCAGCACTGAGCCCTTCTGGAGCTGCTCTAAATATGTCCTGTGCTATTAAATGAAAGAAAATATGATAATGAACAGAGAAAATAACAGAAGTTCATTCAATGCATTTTATCAGGCTTAATTGAACATGAAAATAACGGAAATTTATATTTGATGAACAAATTAAGCCAACTAATATGATTTATATTCGTTCGGTTTATCTTCTAACACATGTAAAAATTAGAAATGCAGTGAAAATACAGGTATCGGGTCGCGGTATCGGCGAGTACCAAAAATTGGAGTATCAGCATCAGACTGATATGTCAATCAGTCATCGGCTGATGGCAATCACCCTAAAATGGGGATTATAAAGGTGAATGTGTAATTTCCCAATTTTAAGCACTTTAGTGCAATTAAAATATTTAAGACTCAACCAAACGGTGAGAGTTTGGTACAGGTCTTTGTACCAATTGAAAACATAATTTTAGATAAAACCGTTTTTGTAACTCCATTAGGCGACACCAACAACGTAGAAGAAATCACACACTTCACCTTGAAGAGATGAGAATGCAAATTAAATATCTACATAAAAGCTTGCCCAATACTGCCTACTTGTGGACAGGTTTTGTAATGGTGTCCAGGAGGTACAAATAAATCATGTAGAGATATGATCATTTTCTCACTATGACCAGTAATATCCTAAATGAGTAATGCACTGGTAATGCAAACAAATGAGTACCTGGTCCCCTATCCATGGGCACAGGGCCTCCTGATGGGATCCCTATCTGAGGCTGCATCCCACCTGTAGAGGGAGGGAGCAGAGGTAAACTGCTATCCATGCACACACAAGCGCCAAAGTACTATAAGGAAAACTGGGCTTACCAGCTGGTCCCATGGGTCCCTGTCCTGGCATTGGTCCAGGTACTCCACCACCCATCTGTGGAGGCTGCATCATTTGGGGGGCTCCGTTCACATGCATACCAGGCTGTGAGTCACAGGAAAATAAGAAATTAACTCATTAGTGCCATGAATTAGTTTAATGGTCCATGAACCCAACTGAAACTTTCTCAAATATCAACCATGAGCTTTTTTCATTCACTGAAAGGCTACAGAGCATTTCTGACAATGAAGAAGACAAATATTTTAAATCAGGTAATTATGAATAAACTATTTAAATATTGAATATTTTTAACACACACAGAAAAAATTTTTCAGATTTCTTCAGATTTTTTTTCTTTTTACTTTCTATTAATCAAAGAATCTTGAAAACACATTTAATTATACACTGATAATGATCAGAAATGTTACTTGAGCACTAAATAAGCATATTAGAATGTTGTGATATGAAATCCATCAGAGGAAAAGATTAATAACCTTTAAAAAAAAAAAAACATTAAAACCCCAAAACTTTGAATGGTAGTGTATCTTAACAGAGACAAGCACTACGATGTAATGCATCTCGTGACACAAGTGTTCAGAAAGCGATGAATGATGTAATACTGACCATTGGTTGTGGCTGAGAGACAGGGACATTGGGCTGAGGGAGGGGTTGGTTGGGTACCGGCACCGGCCCGGGCTGAGGGCTCGGGTTAATGGGCTGAACTACAGCCGGACGGTGAAGCATTTTCTGTAAGAGATTATTATTCTATTGATTATCTTATATTTCAACATGCCACTAAAGAGTAAAGATCTGGTTAAAAACACTGTCAAAATCCTTGATATTTATAAGAGTGCTTATTTAAGAAGGTTATTCAGACATTACCAAGTCTGTCCAAGCCATGTACTAAGACACTTCCCATTCTTCTATGTAGCTCACACCTCTTAATGATCTTACCAGAGCGATTTCAGGATCTACAATCCTCATGACCACCTGAGCTTGCAGCAAGGCATAGGCCAGCTGAGGGTTCTGCAAGAGCATGTTCCTGGCCTCCTGGGGACTGTTCTGCACACAGAGCTGTACAAACAAAAACAGGATCAGAACTATAACAATCACTTCAAAACAACAATTCATTTTAAATTAAATTACTCTTAACAATAAATTAAATATATAATAAATAGCAATTAAAAGGTTCTCTCGAAAAGAAAAGAAAAATCTGTAGCCCCTTTTGTCGTTTGACCTGTATGTATTTTTATTTTCGTATTTTTATGAGAAAAATAATGCACACCCAAGGTGCACACTCCGCTTCGCGTCATGACTGTATTACCACCTCGGGTGTGCATTATTTTTCTAATAATTCAACGGCTGTCGTCAATTATTCCTTACTTAATCTATTCTACAACATCCAAAAAACTAAAAATAGAATCATATGAGCCCTTTAAGTTAAACAGGCCACTTTCCAAAAGTCACCTTCATCTGTTTCATAAGCTCAAACATCTGCTCAGGGGGCAGGCTGGCTACTGCCCTGCTGATGGACTCTGGGGCTTCTTCTGTTGTGCAGCCGTCTCCATAAGGGGACTCAATAATGGGGGCACCAGTACCCAAACCTGAGGAAACAAGCATGCAGCTTAAACAAAATAGCCATTTTTATTACTCAAGATTTATAAATCAAAAGTTCAATAGCTCAATGGGTGGAATATTACACTTAAAAAGTACTGAAACTTACTTTTGAGCTCCTCTTTATTCTTCTCACTAGCAGCGTTGTCGACGCGGAGGGCTCTGCCACTAAACTCTCTGCCGTTCAGGTTACGCATGGCACTGAGCGCCGTCTCCTGATCCTGGTACTCACAAAAGCCATATCCCTTTGGCTTACCTGTTTCTCTGTCATACACCAACCTGCAAATTGTTTTTTAATTCTAGATCAGCACCAGGTTTCCTCAAAGTGACCAGAGCATGTTGTTGTCTCAAGCTTTGTGCATACCTAAAACTGACGACAAGTCCAACCTCGGAGAAGATGTCTTTCAGTTGCTCCTCTGTGGCCTCATATGGAATGTTTCCCACTGTCACAAGAAAAAAACGAGAGTTTTTTTTTTTTTTGCAGCATCTGTTTAGACGCTCATCAATTTCTGTTTTATCCTTTTTACCTCTTGCACCATTTAACGTTACTCCTTCCGTCCGGTGCAAAACTTAGTAACTTAGAGGGAGCGTTTGATATGCATGCAGTACTTTCACAACTAATTATGTGCATACGTGAACATGTATGGAAATAATATGAATTCCAATAATAATGTAGAAGTCTAGCAGACAGACAGATAAAATGCTACAGAATATAAGAGGTTAGTGAGGTTTAGCTTAGCGGCTAATGAAACAGAATGGTAAATACAAGAAAAAGACTAATCCAATCTCTTCAAACATACCGAAAACCGAACGCAACGAGCGGTCCACGGCAGGATCCCTGGCAGCTGCGGCTGCTGCGGCGGCAAGAGCTAAGTTCGCCATATATTTAGTGATAAAGTCAAAGTCACAGTAAACACGACCAAAGCATCAGAATAGACCGATGAGAAGCCGGATACCATGTGGGGAAAATTGTAGATGGTGCTACACAACGATACGTTGATATTTCAAAATAAGAGTCCGAGCAGATACAAACATCATAAACGACCAAGAGAAAGAAACAAAACAAACAAACAAAAATAAAAAAAAAAATGTCATAAAAAATGAAGACAAAAATGCATACGGAATATAAAGTAGAAATGCATACAGATTAAAGAAGACTACTAGGCTGCATAAATGATTAAAATAAAATAAAAACTTTGTAAAGCTCACAATCAATTCTTTAGAGCTTTTTTTATGTGGCTGGTTGGGGTTTATGTAATTTAGCCCGTACTAACATGATTTAAATTAATCTGATTTTTTTAAAATACTTTTCATATTCCTTAAAATAGAATTTGTGATGTCCTTGGGTGTGGGTCTTCTTATAGCCAAAACATGTTTTGTTTTTTGTTTTTTGTTTTTTGTTTTTTTATCATGTGAGAATAGTTCAATTTTAGTGAATGAAAACAAAATATGTAACAGCCTATTCTTGATGACACAGGTTCATCAGAAAACCTTTTAAAGAATGCTTATCTTTTAACACCACATTATAGGTGCGTTCCATTCGACCGTAAGTGGACTGCGAAGTGGACTTCACAGGGTATTTCGCCATCTTAATGAGATTCCAATTCGAAGGGAACGAACATGTTCAGTTCGAAGGGTACTGCAAACGGCATAGGGAATAAGGGAACATCGATACATCACTTCACAAGAAGTCAGTGAAGTCCACTTCAACTGATATCCCAGCAAACAAATTTAGGTTCTGGGAACGTTTTGGGAATGTTAGTTTTTGGTTCTCAGAACGTTCCTAGCACTTTCCCTTAAGGTTAAGGGAACATTCCCGGAACATTCTCCTTACATTATAAAAATGGAACCTAAAAATAACCTACATAGAATGTTCCTATAACGTCCTTGTTTGGTTCTCAAAAAAATAACCTCATGGGACCATTCGGGAACATTAGGGGAACGTTCTGTGTTTGCTGGGATACCGTGTTCAGGGAGTAGGGAGCAGTGAACACTGTGTGGGGACCCTGTCAAAGGGAACGCACCGTCCTTATTTCATTACAATATTTTCCACAGACAATTGTTTGGACAGTAAATGAAAAAAACTGTCACAGTGAGAGTTCAGCAGTGTGTATTTATCAACCTAAATATCTTTCTATCTTTCTCAAGCCTTTAGCTTGCCCACCGAGTTGTTGTTTGAATCTATAGGCCTATTTCATTTATTTTTTCTTTTATTTTCATCAGAAGACTTGGAATATAGTCCATGAGACTTAGTCTTCTCTTAATAATGCTTAATACTGTTGTATTCTTGCAGCCTGACAGCCCCTGGTTCCTAATTTCAGTTTAATGAAAAAGCAGAAATTCAAAACATCTCCTTTTGTATTGCACAAAATTAGTCAGGAAAATGAGTTTGAAAACACATAGAATGAGTAAATGATGTCAGAATTTTCATTTTGTGGTTTAACTTTCTCTCTGAGACATCCTGGCCCCTTTCGATGGTTACTGAGGACCCCTATGGCATGCACTCTGTTTCAGAGGCACTGGAATAAAGAATCTATTTTATTTGTTTGTTTTTTGGTGCTTTATCTGATACTGATGAACTAGTTAAAACTCTCCATTAATATTTGTGAAATGAAAAAAAGAAAGAATCACACTACATGCATTTATTGTTGTGACCACAGGAGGATTTTGATTGGTTCTTGAAATGTACTGTACATTTAGACATTCGATTGTGAGCGTCAAACAGCCTTTGATTGTCTTGTGTTTTGTGTGAGTTCACACAGTTAGTTATTTACAATCAACTGTTTAAAAAAACAATTATCTTATAAAAGATCAATTAATCAAGAGCATAATGATAGTTTTTTTATTATTATTATTTATAGTAAATCATGTAATATGTTCCTTCAGAACCTTGGACAGCTCCAACACTGACATTAAATCAAGTATTGCAACGACATGATAAGCTATATTTAACCTATATTTCAGTAAATCTATTTAAAACCTTGTGCCCTCTATCTTCTATATACTACAAATTAAAAACAGAAAATTGTTTATGGTTCAGTGTTTATTTTGCTCATCATAGAGAGTGTAAATTTGATATTATTATTATATATGATTTTATGACAACATAGCTGAAATGCTTACAAATATGGATTAAAGTAACCTCTTTCCAGAAGTGATATCTGCATGTTAGATTGTTTACTATTTTTGGCATAAAAGAAGTCTGGAACAAGACAGGGCTCATTTGACAGAAATTTCTTGCCAGAAAGCTTTTTGTCAGTTGCAAATTGACACATTTAGAAGGATTCATATAGTCTACTGTAAATGTTTGCACATAAAAAGGTCATTTGAACAAACTTTGGCATTAGAAATATTCAGTATCAGCTTCATGTTCATTGTAGCCTATGTCATAATACAATAAAAATGTATTTTTATAAATGTAAGTGAATGTGCATTTGTCTGTGCATTTTTTTTCAGCCATTTACCCCCAGTGGTCATTAGAGATTTTCAGCTGATAACACATTTCATAGCTGAGCATAACAATTTAGCAAGGCTATTTATGTTCAAAACTAACCCATTTTAACAAAAGATTAATTATTTTAACTTTATTAACTTTTCCAGGCAGGAAATTACATTTTTAGGCTTTCCTGGCTTTCCTGGAACAACAATAAACGGCAAAAATCGTCTCACTCTGCTGACAATTTTAACAAGAGGCTTGTTGTCTGACACTTTTATCCAAAGCATTTTACAGTACATTCATAGTCTACATTTGATCAGTTATTTCCCCCTTATTAAAACCTATGATAATGGCATCACTAGCTATGGCACCATAGAAGTTAAGTTATAAGTTCATTTCATTCATTCATTTTTATTAGAATCCCCATTAGCGGCCCATTTAATGGCAGCTAATCTTCCTGGGGTCCTCTTTAAAATATTCAAAACATAAAATTATACAAAACAATAACAACACAGATTATAATTTAAAAATACTAATAAAACATTGCAATTAGGCTACATACAAAACATTACCAAGTAAAAGAACATGACACTTTCCATCTTTCACAAGGTCATTTGCAGCAATTCCTGGGTTACTGTCCTCTTAAATTTATATTTGTTGTGAATTCTGCGTGATGAGACAGAGAGTCGATTCCAAATAGATATTGCTCTGTAAAGTGATGTGCATTTCAGAGAACTTGTCCTTTTATGTCACCATAATGCCTGCTTGCATGGTGTGTAGCACTGAGCCAAGTTGCATTAATTCAAGTCTACTTTAATTGGTGGCTGAATGTGAAAGTCAAGCACAAATGTGTGAATGCTGGGTTATCATTATTAAAGTTAACATTAGGGGTCGCACAAACACTATTCTTGACTTCACGTTAGCACGCCGCTAGTATGCCGCCTGTCGCCGTCATTACCAAAGGATTTTATTTACAGTTGAGCTAACGACGTTGCCATTTGATTAATTTTCCACAAAATGATACTAATATTATGTATAGCACTCTGATTTCCACCGGCCTTATACAAACAACGTGGAATTTGCAGCATATAGGCTATTGTTGTTCGAAACCACAGCTGACCAGGAAACACTAAGCTGCGACGTCGTTCAAACTCTGAGGTTTTCTGTCTCGTAAAATTCTTGGTTCCACTGGGGCTCGAACCCAGGACCTTCTGCGTGTAAAGCAGACGTGATAACCACTACACTATGGAACCGCTTGATAACTTAGATCTCATGAGAGAAAACAAAACAGACAGGCCGACATGTCTGGATTACGCCCTACATCGCATTTAAAATATGTCTGTCTGTCTGACTGTTTATCTGTCTGTCTATCAGGATGAATCAGTAAGTGAAAATATCAGTTTATAAAAATATACAGATATGATGTATTTTTCTGAGAGAGTGTGCAGGTTAATATGCAAACATCTCAATATATTCTCTTCATTACATTGCTTCAGGCAAAATGGGTGCATAAAGCTTGATGCACTTTGTAATTAAAATCACATCACAGTTCCTCATGTTACCAAGCTTTTGTGAACAGCTTGGACCAGAGTGAAGAAGGAAAGACAGTCACTGTCAAGGCAATTTCTTTAACGTAGTGTTTCAATTCTTTAACGTCTCGCAGTTTCGGAAAGATAAGCAATTACACTTCAGAAAATGCTGGGTTGTTTCCATATTTGGGTCAAATATGGGTCGAAATAACCCAGTATTTTTTACCACATGTAATGTGCAAAGTTTTCTCCTTGGTTTCACTCCCATATATTGCTCTCTGAATGCAGTATTTGCTCCCCCTGTAAGTCTCTACCATTGTTAATTAAGTAAATAACTGCATTGTTTTAATTGATACTGGGGTTTATAACCTCTTCAACATAGCAGGTAAAGTTCAGTGGTGCAGTGGTGTTCTTTATTAACTGAAGTTCACCTGTTCTTTTCAATAGTTAAATTATTTTCATTAGTCTGGTAAACACATAGTTTATAATTTAACCAAACTGATTGCTCACTAAAAACAAAACAAAACAAAAAAAACAAAAAAAACACACACACACAGTCATCATGTTATTATTTTGACGTGGCATAAATCGGTTAGGCCTATGTTTATTTGCCAGAGTTTTTTTTTACTTCGCCTACTTTTTAGCTTCCCCTTAAGGACATAATTCTGTTAATTCACACCAATTCTCAAGAGCATGAAAACAAGAGGCGGGATTTTTCGCACAACCCAATCATATCTTATCACAGCGCCATGGATGCATTATTTTCTCTCACGTGGCTTTCCATTCATTCTCAGTTAACCCCCATCAAACCCACCGCATACTTTAGGGGGTTTATTAACACTGACAGGGCTCAGGGGAGGCAAGAGAGAGGGGGTGTCCTGCTGTAACTTTACCTTAGTGTCTCTGTTGGATAGTATTACTTTAGAAAAACAGTTTTTCGCTTTGGTACATTTCACGAATCATCCTCGAAATTTGCAAAACAGTAAGGGCATTCCTCAAAACTATTCATACAAATAGCAAAACACCAATGATTACCTGCCTGCAAAAGCCAGTCTCTTGCTCAAAATCTCTCAAAAGTGTCATCTGTGTCAATGAACATGTCAGTGTCATCAGAATGACAAGTCCTTGTGTCATTGTGTACGGATAAGAAGTCATGTTGTCAATATAACAGTGTCTGCAGAGATGTTCTGATGTAAACTGTGGATAAGGTTTTGATGAAAATTATTGTAAATTGTAGGTTACGTGGAAGTTTAATTGCAAAAGACTGGACAAGATCACATTATGCTTTTACTGTTTACTGCAATTTGTTGACAGGTCATATACAGAAAGGAAAGAAAGCACTGCATAGCACAAAGAAAAAAATTAAAAGTAGAAATGTGAACATAAACTTCTTATTGGCAAAACTGCGTGCATTATGACAACTTGTTCAATCATTTTGTAAAGACTTGTGCTATGAACTAAAGCCTATACCTATTGTGGGGGGTGAGACAATTCAATTGAGACCCATTATAATACATTTTGATCAACATGATAATGTAGGAAACAGCGGATAATTATGTAATCATTTGCATGGATACCAATTCAAATTAAATTAGAAACAGTGTTGTTGATGTGCATAAGTGACATGATGTGAACATTGAACAGGTAGTTTTGAGAATTTCTATTCTGATCTGAAAAACTTTCATTTTATTTTTTTACTTTTTTATTGGAACAAAGAACACAAAATTATCATTGATGCTACAATATTAGTACACAAAATATTTCCAACATATTGATATACAATATCACACTTTCCTCAATGGTTTAAGTATAAAATTATAAGTATTTTTTTCCAAAACTTGTTGCCTTAATATAAATATAAGTCTCTCCATACTGTATATTTCATACAATCCCTAGCCACTGATCCATTGTTGGAGGGTCAACCTGCATCCATTTACAGGTTATTGCCTTCATACAGCTTGCTAACAATTATCTTAATAAGTATTTATCCTTGTCTAAAACAGTTCCTGGTATTTTACCTAAATATAATGTAGTGACTTAAAAAAATAATCTCTACTCCCATTATTTTCCCAATCTCTGCCACTAATGCCAAAAGAATATTATTTTTGGGCAGGCCCAGATAATATGGTAACGATTAGCCATCTGAGTTTTACATTGCCTCCAGCAAAAGCCACAGTTCTGTAAATGCTGTTAATTTGGGAGTTATAAAAAAAAATCTTTTTAAATTCTTCCAGGAGTTCTTCAGGAGTTTGTTGTATTTGCCCATATCACATAGGCCTATCTCCAGTCTTCATCTGTTATTTGTGAGTCAGATTCTTTCTCCCATTTTTGTTTAATGATGAATGGTTCTTAAATGCTTGCACACATACAGAAACAATCTTCCAATAGAAAAATACACTTTTTAATGTCACATTTTGTAATATATGCATTGATTTTTTTGATTATTTTCTCATCCAAATTTCGGAAGAGGCCATGTCTCCCTTGCCTCCTCGGAGGAAACACCCCTTCCATTATAACAAATCTCTGGAAGCCCCCTCCTGTTGCAGTTGCAAGATGTAGCTAATTTCCAAATAATATGAAATTACACTGCAAATGTGAGAAATAAAGCTGCAAAATGAACACATAGTCTATACTATTACAAAAAAGACAACAATAACACAATAACAGCTACAATAAAGTGAACATATTTATTTATTTCACATTGTATCTGTTTTATTTCTACATAGCTAAGCTGGAGGCCCCTGACAGCCTGGGGCCCGTTGGCCCAGTAGGCTACACAATCTACCGCATAAATGAACAAAATTGACCAAATCAAACATGAAAGCCTTTATTATTTTACATCGCACGCAGTGTAACCCAAAACTCTTGTCTAGGCTTGTATCTCAGTCTGTTCAGCTATCTGCACGGTCTCCGACCAGGTAGGACTTCGGAGGAAGGAGAGCGTGGCTTGTAACCAGTGCACGCGGCAACGGTCACCTGTGGGAACGCAGCCGGCTTTAGGACCCAGCGTGCGCGATTTTCCTCTCCAGCTGCTGCGGCGATGAGGGAAGATCGCGAGGAGAAACCCAAAATTCACAGTGTTAAATCCTCCACTGAATCATACTATCGGACGGCAACGAAAACAACAGGCACAGACACTTCCTCTTGCATTTGGATGAATACGTCAAGTTCAGATCCATAGGAAAACAGTTTGGGGCCGTTAAGGTAAGGCGGCGCGATTCCATGCGATTAATAACAAAGGCGCTATACTGCCGAGCGAGGGGGCATTAAAGGGGGCATTGCACAACGCAATGGAGGGCGACAGTCAACTCTCTAAACTTTGCACTTGTACATGAGTGCATCAAAGTCATAACATCATGTCATGACGAGATCTATCTATCTATCTGAAACGGTTGGATGTGTTAATAGAGTGCAAAGACAACATGCGGCAACATTTGAAAATATATGGATAATGTGTCCTAAACTGACCGCACGCGATCACAAGAGTCAATGTCATCACGTGCGTTACGGCCTAGGAAAGTGATGGATCGCGCAAAGGCGCGTTAATTCACGGTGCAATAAGTTTGGATATCGTTTGCATCCCCTCAACCTGTGCCCACTTCCACCCTTGCGACATTATCTCAGTCAGACTCATCATGCAGTGGAGCACGCACCGGTCAGACACCTTAGTGTGCACTGTTGCACGGCCTTTCTGTTGTCATTATTGCCAGTTCTTTTTAATTGTGTTTTGAAACTAAGTTGTAATTGTTGCCCTAGCGGTGACGCTCATTTGCAGCCATCAGGCCTGTTTAGGCTAATGGTGGAGATTTGACACCATCAAGTCAAACTTTTCAGAATATCTAATTTCTTACAGTTAACGTAATAATGTTTCAGCCTCCATGATTAGTATATAATATATATATATATATATATATATATATATATATATAGAGAGAGAGAGAGAGAGAGAGAGAGAGAGAGAGAGAGAGAGAGAGAGAGAGAGAGAGAGAGAAATGGATTCACGTGTAGATGGGCATTGTGGCATGTTCGTCATGTCTGTGATATTTTAGCTTTTAATAATGCAGTCAGTCCTCGTTGCAGTGACTGTCTGTCTGATATGATTGTTGTACTCGTATGGTGCAGTCAGTAATACAGCCTATGTATTTTTACGGCAGCATCAGTGTTAGAGCTTTGAGAAGACGTGATGCTCTCAGCGCAGTCTATACAGGGTCAGTTTGCATCGGAGCAGTCATGACAAAAATAGGTCACCGGCTCAAAGATGTTAAATTTCTGTTTACGTAAACGTTTTTCAGGAGGGACTAAACGGGAGATTTGTGTGATATTGTATATTGTCCGATGATGATGATGATGCAGTGTCATTTTTCTGTCGGAATAAAAGAATATCGCTAATCATCAAAAGTATGAGCGTCCCGGCTCCCAACATTTAAGAATACACAAATGCTGTCAGTGTGTAATCTTGTGCTGCTCTGCTCCTGAAGCTGAATGGGACAGTGACACTGATTTGGTCTTTAGATATTTATTATACAGTGGTTGCTGAGCATGAAGTCTAAATGGTCATTGTGAGTTAGAAGATCATGGCTAAAACAGAAAAAAGTTCTTCTTTACAAATAATGAAGGCTCAGAGTCAGTGATGATTCAACCTGTTGGAGAGATGTTATTGTTTCGTTTGTTGGTAAGGTCAAATTGTGATAGGGCCTATATACTGGTGTTTGCTGGTTCATGATGTTGGTGCCTTAAAAAAAAGTGAAGATTACAATAATGTTGAATATAGCTGGCTGTTTGGATGTAATATAGTGTTTGGCTGACATGTTTACAATGCACAGTGTCTGAGGATGAAAAGTAAGGGTTGCTTGTTAAACCTGAGATCAAATAAGCCAGACGGCAAATAGATACTGGACAGCTGATCATGGACCTGATTTAACTATCATCATGCCCATTGTCTTGTCTTGATACAAGGAAGATAACAGATTGTTTGTGTCTCGCTGCTGAAAAAGTGCTGATTATTTCAAGATAAGCTTGGAAAAGGCAGGCAGAAAATCATTCTCTCAAAAAAAAATAAAAAATATGTCAAACCCAGACTTTAGATTCACAGGAAATTTGTATGTTTATTTTTTAGTTATGTTCATATTCTTACAGGAAAATAAATATGACCAGTTTTCTTGTTTCCAAACACTTCATTAAACATGAATTATTAAAGAATGCCATAATAACGCTAAATTCATTTTGAATTCCTCCTGTTTTAATGTCAAAATAGATAGCCATTGTAATTAGCTGCACCAAATCTAATGTTATGTCAAGGTAGTTTTTGTATCGTCTCCAGGTCTTGTTTACATTAAATACTCAAACAGAAAACCTTTACTGTTTGATATTATAAGTGACATGATTTGGCCTTCAAATGATGGAAATTGTTCAGCAGGATTCGCAGATTGAATAAAAATAACAATATATTTTGTTCAACAGCAACTGAAGAGTAACCTAGTAACAGTCCAGCACAGTTGAAACATAAAGTGAAGCTCCAGAGATATTTTGCAACAGCTGATGCTAGTTGTCACCTGGAAAAACAAACAAACAAACAAACAAAAAAATAAACTAAAAAACTAATATGTTAAGGTCGGTGATGGGCTTTTTTTTTTTTTTAGAAATTAAGAAGTGTAAATCCACCTGAGGATCCCAGTTTGAACTCTTCAAGCATAATTCTTGTTCACCTAAAAGATATTTGGTTTGTCCATGATGTAGGCATGGGCATGTAGCCTATAATTGCGCAGCATGTTTTCACAAAAAAAAAAAAAAAAAAAAAAACTCGGGTTCTCGTAGCCTATGAGAAGAATCTGTTTAATTTAAGGTGAACATATAAATAAACACATGGGTGGATCTTCATGTGCCTCTCTATTGATGATCGTTCCCTGGGTGTCCGGTAGTAGACATCGGTCTCGTGGCTCTACTGAAATAGTTCGAGACCCAGCAGGGTTTTTATTAATTCCGCTGCAATGTTTGTCTCAACTCTTTTTGTGACGGCCCACGTGTGCGAATCTAAAAACGAGATTATACAAACATGCACGTGCTACTCCGCGACCCTCGCGTGTTGCGTCCGAGAGCAACGGTATAATTGAGAGGGTGTATTTTCACTTTGTTACTCGGGTATGGTTTGCAGTTTAGCGCACCGTTGCGATCCCCTTTCCCCTTGAGCGGCTGGATTCTCGCGGTGCATGCTGGGACCTGCAGTCCTCGCTCCTCCCTTCTCAGGGCGTACGCGGTCAGGGCGTGGATGTCGGAGCACTACAAGTCCCACACGAGCTCGGCTCCATCTGCCCCTCTCTCTCTCCCACCAGACCAGAGACAGAGAGATACGGTACGAACCCCACCGGACTTTCAGAACCGAAAATCGTCGAGATTAGTGAACTGCGAGAGACAAGAACGGAAGACCGGATTAAAGCCCTTATCTTGATGCGCAAACATCTTCCAAATGTCGGTCAAACGGGTTAGTGGACGTTTGTACAATCTGACATCGTTATTTGGCTCGCTAATTGCCTTTTGAAATTATTCAGGGTTGTATAGACGAAGGAGTCGGTTCTGGGGCTGTGGCATGTCATAACACTTTGGCTGTTGGAGCTGCTTCGCTATGGAAACATTTCATGTCGTACGGTGACAGAGTAATGCAGACCGAGTTGTTAGAGGGGAGACTTCGCTGCGCAGGGATCTGAAATCGCTCCTTCAGTTTCGTACACCTTGCTCCGTACGAAATAACGCTCTCCCCGCGTGTCACGCAGCACAAGTGACGATAATAATAAGGAGCGAATGGAAAACTCGGTGACCCTATTAGTTTCTAAACACTCTTTCGAGGGCAATGTGGAGAGAGACAGCCAAAGTACGATGTTTCCTCGCGAAGGTTATCATCCAACACAAATGTGCGCGTGACATTTCTCTGCCCGTGCATTTTTTTTGTCGAGTTTTAATTCAGACGTCATAGCTCGGCTCGCGCTTAGCGAAAAACCAACGGTCACTTTATAGTTTGACAGGATTCAGCCAGTACGAACGCGTCGGTTAGTTGGGCTACATTGTGGCCACACGAACTGTGTAGGCTTTCGATTCTTTATCCGAAGGAAACGTCTTTTTCGGCTAATTCCAGACATAATAAACATTTAGTTGTTTTTGTGTTTAAACAGCGGCGTTATTTATCACTGACTCCCATTTCAGCATGCGAGGCGCTTCGTGTCACCTGAGAGTCTCTTGTATTGTGTGATACGGTTTTAGTATCTCCAGCTAGAACGAGCGAGTGGGTTGGCCAGAGAAACAAACATTTTGGTCTGTTTTAGGACGATGCTCTGCACTAATATTAAGGTAGCTGTGGATACATGACATTGGCTGATCATCGACTGCTTTTCTGCATCATCCTTTGTGCATATATAAGCTCCGGTCTGCGGAGCTCTGACGACGGACTGACCGGGAGACTGCGAGTGTGCTGAGCTCCAGTCTAGAGTGGAGAGACGATGCTTATTTCCTCGTCTCCGTTTATCATTGCGCTGGTAACCTCATTCACAAGAACGAAGGCTGAAGAAAACACGGGCTCCCGCTCCCACTGATCCTGTGTTTTCAATAATTGAGATGCCTCAAGATGAAAAATGTCTCAACGAAAATGATCGGTTCTATCTTTAGCAGCAGATATATTCACGCATATAACACATCATAAACTTTCCAATTATCAGACTTCTGCTAAAGGCCTATACGGCTTGGTTATGCCATAGAAACACTTTAAGTATACCGACATCAGTTTGATCTAATTTTAAGTCAGAAAGATAAGCAGTTCATATTTTAAGACACCTGTCACCTGTATCGTCAACGTGGTCCTGCTGCTGCTGCGCTCACCTGCATTCTGATGCGAGTTGTAGGCTACGGTGTTCATGTTGTTTGCATATGGGACTCCGGTATTTAGTTCTGGTTATTTGCGGTGGTTATGTATGTCGTTTGGTTTTCCTAAGTAATATCCAGTCTTATTCATGTCTCTTTTTTCAATTAAGAACACAACCTCAAGAGATAGATTTGGATGACTTTGTCTCAAATGCAACAAGGTGCAACTTCATTTCGACCTCACAATATTCGGTTTGATTCCCATCTGCATGAAAAAAAAAAAAATCCATTTTATGCTCTATATTGCATTGCCTTTATATTTAGTAAAACCAGAATGTACCGCTTTGTTAGAGACAAATAATTATGATAATTTGAAAAGCTATTATGTGAAGTAGAAATTGAAATCTACCACCAGTTTTTAAAATGATGTAAATATCCCTATTCACTAATTATGCATAACTGAAAAGGTTACTTAAATGAATTTGTCAAAAAGTTTTTGAAGGGAACCCTATATTGATTTGAACTGTTGGGCTCTGATAGGAGTTTTGCAAGGCCTCACACACAGCACTGTTAGAATTAGATTAAATCACAGCTTGACCACCTCATTATGAGTAAACATTTTAGTAACGCGCACTCTGTGACTGTGGACATGAGTTGCTTCGCCTTTATCTAATGCCTGTAAAGAGTAAAGCGCCTGTGTTAGGCACAGCATCACATTAATGGTTGCTCTGTTCTATCTGCACTGTTGATGTTGTCTTGATCTACTGCAGTTTGTCCCACTGAGGTAATGAGGCAGTAAAACCTGCATCAACTATCGAATGGCCCTGCATCCTTTATCCTCAACCCCTGGCATTTGTGGCCTGTCGTGTACTCGACCATTCCCCTCCACTGAGCTGTGTGAGGGTTTGGGATCTGATCAGTATGGTGCTTTGCTTCTTTAAAAAGGGGGTAATTAGAGGATACAGACTTAGACCATGTGCGATGTGGGTTAAGAGGATGTTGTTGCAGTAAAAACTGTCCCTTCAGCTGTGGGAGCTGAGGTTTTTACTCTTCTGTGTTTTAACTGAGTTTTTGGTGTTTATGTTCGTGCACTTGAAATTGATTTGCTCACAATCTTAGAGAGAGTCAAATGGGTCAAACTCAGCGTTTTTCACCTCATAATTTCGTCTTTCCTACAGCAGATGACCATGCATTTGCAAACTTACAATTAAAAATGAAAATCGCTGGTATACAGTTCAAAGATCATTGCATTTTTTTTTTCAAATACATTATTTAAATCGGAATGCTATAAATTTAATATCTATTCCTACTCAAGCCGTAGTCTTAAGGAAATTGTGACATCTTGACTAAGGAAACCTCTGTTACTCACAGGAAGTTTCCAGCCTGTCTCTCACTGACTGTAACAAGAGAAGTGATGTTGTGGCCTCATGGTTAGAGTGTCATTTTTGTCAGATTACAGGGAAAGAGAGTTAAAACATTACAGCTAATCTATGTCCATCTTTTGTTAAAATTATAGAAGTGTTTATTTTGAGTGGAGTTGCTTGCTTTTATTTTATGTCTGACAAATGAAAATGATGACTAGAAATATTTCATATCTCTCAAAATCGTTGAAAAGTTATTGAAAGTCGTGTGCCTGATACATGTAGTTCTGCACTACTGATAGGGTGTAACAGTTGTAAGAATGTTAAGGGAAAGTATATCCAACTAGGCTAACAGCATTTTTAATGAATGTGCTAACATGAGTTTAGTTGCCTTATAGTTCAAATCCTTGTTTCCAATGTGTAATGTAGATAGTGTAGTGATCTATATTTTACATTTGCTTTAGTTAATGAGATCTGAGTTGACCTTGGCTGAGCTACACAACATGTATCCTCTGCAATTAGTTATATGTACATTAAAAAAGAATGAAGTGAAAATGAGTGAAAAATCGACAGTATGGCTTAGCTATACTTTTTCTCTCTGATGAAGCAAACATATTTGTTATGACAAATATTAACATCATTTGAAAGGGTCTTAATGTTGTCCAGTAGCAGATTATTAACTAATCAATGAATGATTTATCTTTATTTTTAAAAAGTTATATATTTTTTATGTTCCAAATTTGATATCATTTTAAATACTCAATTTGTGCACTTTTTAAAGTTGTTTTTTTTTTTTTAATGATCTAATTCTACAACAGAACTGCAAACTACCCAGAGGAGAATCCCATAAAGAGTCACTTGTCCACACACACTGAGTAATGTGTTGAGAAAACGCCTATGCAGGTAACATACATTTCATTGTTATAATCTCCCCTCTGTATCTTTCGTGGTTTTTTATTTATTTATTTATCATTATATTTTTTCACACTTTCCCCTTAAGTCAAACTTTCTTTCCTGTTTCTTTGCTCAGGTGGATCCCTCACCAATGAATGTAGGGGATGGAGGGACGGTGAGCAGAGAGAGCAGTGCCCTTACCCACGTGTCTGAGAGCATGGTGGGAAATCCACAGCAGACACTGCCTCTTGAACTTAGAGGTGACATACCTCAAAGTCAGCAGAACAAGTTGAGGGCGACCACAGACTGTAAAACACCTGACGTCTGCTCAGAATCCAGCAATTCAAATCATTGTCCCCAAGTTCAACCCCACAGCAATGTGTTTAGCACTGATCCCGTGAGCACACCCTTGCCTGATCGGACTGAGGTTTCCAAAGGCAAGGTTGACAGTGCTGGCATCTACTCAACTCATCTGTGGCCTTGTGGTAAAAAGGTCACCGCAGAGGACCCTGGGAACTCTGTTCATAGTATAAACCTAAACAAGAAGACTAACGCACCAGCACCCACCCAGCCTGTGATAAGCGTTCCTTTAGGTTTCCAGTGCTCCACGCTGTTTAAACCCGGCCAGCCTGTTGCTTTCCTTCCCCCTTCCAATTTTTCTTCTCCTCTCTGTAAGATCACACTGCCACCAGGGTTAGGTCAGATTGCAGCACTGCGAGAAGCCACTGCTAGCCAGTTTCAAAAGGTTGACTGCCCAGCGCAAAGCTCTTGTTCGAGCACTACACCTATGCTTAAAACATACCCGTATCACTTTTCGGTTGGGAGAGGACCTGGCGCTGAGAAGAAACCTCAGTCTTCAGGATCCAAAGTCAGGTGTGACTCTTTGTCCAAGGGCTTTCAAGGTGGATCTGAGCATAAAGCCACAATGTCTTCTGTAGCAGCCCCAGCTTTAGCCCTTCCAGTACAGCAAGCCACACAGGGCTCGGCTCCACAAACCCATTATACCATTTCTCCCACTGCTGCCATCTGCTGCAGCCCAGCTCTGGCAAATATCACCACTCAAAGTCGGCTGCTTAGCCTTGTAGAAAAAGGTTCGACGTACCGAGGTGCTGAAAAGACCTCTTTAGCGTATCTGAAACCAAAAACACTGTCCACTCCAGAGGAGCATAATGTTTCCTGCCCCGTTGAGTCAAGGGATGTCCCCCTTGATTTGTCTGCAAAGTCAAAGCGACAAAAAAACATTAAAGAGACCCAGAACCACCCATCATTGGCCACGGAACAGCATTCTGCTGACTCTCATCAGAAAAACGTTGCTGGTTCTAAAAAAATGAATTCTGCTTCTTTTGGGTCATCCAGTACATATGACACCCATAGAAATGGTGCTACACAAAAATCATCTTCAAAACAAACTAATCACCATGCTTTGGAACCCAACGCATCCTGGGCCAAAGGCTCATCTCCTGGTTCCTTAAATAATCTCCCTGGCACATATGTTGGAGTGGCAAGCCCCATTCTAGCATCTACTTTACGAAGCAAAGATGGAAAAAGTGCTGCTTTTGTTGAAGATTTTCAGACATTTGCCAAACAGGAAACCATCTCCATCATTGACCAAGGAGAACAGCCGGTTTGTAGAGAGAGGAAAGCACCATTTGCTGTTAATAAGGATAAGCTTAATAAGGGAGGCAAGCTCTTGACAGGAACTCATCAAGGTTTTTTATCTACCCAATTATCTACTACAGTAAATTCACAGGCCCACCGGAAGTCTGTTGGTGGAAAAGAAGGGACCCTTTTTACACCTCCAGTTAAATCCTTGTGGCAACCACCTTGTGTTCTTTCCCAAGGATCATCTCTGCAGAATAGGCCAAGTCAGACCCAGGCCCCAAAGACTAAGAGCACCCTTGGTTGTGAGAGAGCCCTGTTCCATAACTCCCATTTAAGCCCAATTAAAGTAGAGGATGAAAAGTGGGAGAAGGCCAAATCCCCCCTGTCCAACCTGGAGTCGATAGTGAAGCAGAAAACTCTTGAGACCACTGCACTTACTGGTGAAAACTACTGTAATCTGTCTTATGTGGGATCTAAGAGGCCTGAGGTAGCCAACATGCAGAACAGGTGTCAGGACTCCACGTTGCAGCAGACTCTTACAACTGGTTCTCCATTTAGGGCCATAGAAGTACAGGTCAACAGTTCAGACAAAACTTCTCCACAAACAGATGCTACAGCAGCTCTGAGCAGACCAGAGATCACAACCGCTCCTGTGACCAAGGATAAGGGACGAGAAAAAAAGGCAAAAGAGACAGAAAATCTAGTGTCTGATGGTAGACAAAAAAAGAAATCTACTACCCCTAGTAAAAGGACTGCTCCCAGTTTTAAAAAGAAATTGTCTCAACAGTTAGAGGACGAGATGACAAAAGAGGAGAAAGGATCAGAGAGGAAGGCTTCTTCTCATGTTAAGGTAGAAGGAAAAGCCTTTTCCTTCCTTGAGAACCAGACTGTAGAAGCAGAAGGAGAGGCAAAAATGAATGGAGCCAAAGAGGAGATACCTTCCAAAGGCAAAGTATCCACCACCAAACAGAAGAAGCTGAAAAAGCCTGCCAAGGAAAAGACACCTTCTGAAGCTCAAAAAAAGACTATTACAGTAACTAAAAAGCAAAAAGATAAAGACAGACCATCAGTCAAGCAAGGTCTCTACCATAAAAAGGTAAGATTTATTTTACTCTGATCAATTTAGTGGTTCATTTTTATTAAAGGGGTCATATGAACTTTTACAAGTTGATTGTACTGAAATGTGTTTTGGCAGTGCCTGTACACAACCATCATATAATAAGAAAAATCCATTCAGTGTTTTTGTTTTAATCTCCTTGTTTTAATACGTTTTCCCCGGCCTCAAATTGAGCCGTTCGTCAATAGAGCTGGTAAGTCCCACCCATCCGTAAAACTCCAAGTGGACCTCTAGGTTGAAAAAGCGTCAATGCAAGTGAATGAGAGAAAATAATCATTTTCTGATCCCGTTTGAATTGTGCCATGAATGTAACATATGTTGTCTGTGATTTTTTTTATATAATTACTCATGTAACGAGTTTCACAGTATATTGTATGATTCTTTGGCTAGCAGTTGTGGAATAGACATAACGAGAAGGACTACACGTCGCAAATGTGACGTCACCGCATAACACATTTTCCCTCCACAAATCACGGTTTTCACCACGCTCAACTAGTTTGTCCTCTTCCTGAAAGAAGGCGATAAAGTGCACCAAAGACACAGGCATGTTTAGCGGGAATCGTGTGCTGGTGGGTGTGATGTATATCAAACAGGTCGAAAGAGTTGTAGTTCACAAAGTGCTCTCGCACAAAGTCTAACCGTATGAAAATTCTACCCGCTAAATTGTAGCATTCTTTACACGAAACGTTATATAAAAAATTCAGAGACAACATATGTTCACATTCATTGCAAAATTCAAACGGGATTAGAAAATAATTATTTTCTCTCATTCACTTGCATTGACGATTTTTCAACCTAGAGGTCCAGCGGGGCTAGCTGAAGGGGCAGGACTTACCAGCTCTATAAAACGGACGCCCCTCCCAGGATTGTTAGATCGTTTCAACACATCCCCGCCCTGAGATCTGTCATCATAGTCCGTCATTATTGATACGCTGGAGCAGAGTGGCGTCTAAGCGATTGTGTTGTTCTGTTCTTGGGTGTAATAGCGAACAAAGCAGTCGTTTTGATGTTCCTAAATCCGAACCACTGAAGATGCTGTGGCTTGAGTTTTGTTTTCGAAGGGAATATTCCCCACGAGCAACATCAGTGCTTTCATGTTTGCGCAAATCATTTCTCAATAGACTGCTTTATAAACGAGGGTCAGTATGAGCTGGTTTTGCTAAGAAGCAGCTCCTGAAAAAAGAATCTATTATGTTCCCTCTGTACCTCCAGACGAACTGAGTGTAAAGTTTTATTAACCTTTATATTAATCATTGCAAATCGCGAAAAAAGTTTTTTCATGACCATTAGTTGTAACGTCAATCTGTCAATGAACTAACTATTTATCATCCAGTAAATTAAATACTTGAAAATGGAATGTGGCAATGTGCTTTATCTCATTTGATTATTTGAAGCTTGATGGAAAAGATAAAAACTGTCAATGCAAAACTTCAATTAACATTTGAGTTCAAAACAAAAGACTCATCTTTTTGTTTTAACTTTTTTGTTTTATGTTTGCAATGAAATGTAGAGGATATAATTAATTTAAAAAAGTTTGAGATAATGCAACATTTATTTTCAGCCCATGGTCCTAATCCAAAATATATATATATAAATAGTAAATAGTAAATACCCTTAATAGTAAAAAATGGAGTCAACTCTCCTTTAGGACTGTTTTGGGTTCAAAATAAGTTAGTATGTATTAACAAAATCATTTTGATTTGTCAGTCAGTTTTGACAAAAGGCCTGTTCACATCAAGAACAAGTATACAACAATAACTATAACGAAGATATAGTTAAACGAAAATAAATATAAAAAAATAGTGAAAGCCACACCACAACTATAATGATAATGGCACTGAGTAATTGTATTGTTGGAATCACCAATCAAAATCCATTCTGCTTTAAGAGCACCAGCATTTAAAGTGGCAGATGACAAAACTCCAGCGCGTGCTTCTAATAAACGGAACTATATCGCCCGCTGTGTGAACACCAATATAGTTATGGTTATTGTAATCTCTGGAGTTGTTGTTCTTGGTGTAAACAGGCTTTTAGAGTTGACAAGACATCTTAGAGGATTTTAAAACAGAAATAGGAAGCTTGTGGTTTAGTTAATTATGAGAGTTTATATTAATTATTCTTTTTTTTTTTTCATTTGATCTGTCTAAATTGTCCTTTTAGTACTGGTAGTGTTATTCTCATCATGAGTTACAATGTAATTCCTATGGGTGTTTTTCCCCATGTAGACAGTCTGTAACATATGGTCACAACTGGAGTTTAGTAAACAATTTTATCATGCAATGTTGAAGTTTTGTGGTTATACTTTGTTTGAAACTGTGTTTTGTAATATGTGTTCTTCTTATACAATTAGCGCTGTAACATAACGTAATATATCGCAATACAAAAATGCAACTATATGTATCGTGGCTAGTGACAATATTTATCGTGTATAGTTCACCCAAAATAATAATTACAGTGTGAGGAAAAAATTCCAAGTTTACAACGTTTAGTGTCAGCGCTACATTAAACAACTATATATAATGTTGAATAAAATGTATAATAATGCAATGGGGGAATATTTGTGTCCCGATAATGCTAAATGTCTTCTGTTACCAGTGAAAAGTGCCCTACATTTTTAAAAATATATTTTAGTTTAAATAATTTAATAAATATATAAATTATATATATATATATATATATATATATATATATATATATATATATATATCTTGTCAGTGACAGAGTGCAAGCATATTCATGATCTAAAATAATTCTATGTTTTTTGATCATTTTTTAAAACAATATTTTACCTCATTCAAAACCAGGGTATCAATCCAAATCAGGTTCCCCTCTAAATTTAGACCTACACAATTCACCTATATCAAAGAACATTTTGGGGGAATTCTGGAAGGAAATTATAATAGTTCTCGTGAGATTATTGCGAGAGTAGCCTAGTGACGCGTGTTCTGTTGGGCTAATGAGCTGCATGTGTCTAAGCCCTGGGAAAGCTCTTGGTGAGAGATGATGGCATTACCATTATGAGCCAGTGATGGGTTTATAGACAATTATATTTTTGCTTTGTTTAAATAGCCAATAATGTAAATTATGCATGTGTTATTGACAGACAAAATGCTTTATTTTTTTTTTTAAACTGTTGTGTTGTACTTTATCAGAAGAAAGATGCATTGCCTGGAGTGGGGAAAAATGTGCTGAAAGATGGAATAGGCGCAGCCCCCAAAGTAGGGGGAAAGACTCGCAAAGGGAAAATCTGTCCAACTAATATGGAACACACGGACCCAAACAAAATAGGTACTGACCCAGCTCGTAGTTAAAGAGTAGTTCACCCATGGGGCACCTCGTCATCATTTACTCACTCTTATGTCTTTCCATAACTAGGCTTATCTTCTGTATTAAAAGAAAATTATATTTTTAAGCAGGTCTTTTTCTAACAGTGATGGGTCATAGTGACCCTGGCTGTTAAGTGACAAGAGAAATAAATAAATTGTTCAGCCTGATGTGTGAGCTGGATCAACTAGATCATTGACAAGAACCAGCTCAAAAGTACAATTAATGCACTGATCTAGTTGTACTTTCTAACTCGATTCGCTGGTATAAGATCTTGAATACAGTGAAATGAAACTAGTGTAAAAATTGGTGATTGTGATATTTTAAAGCTTAACAGAAGCTGTGGTCACTATAAACATGTATGGAAAAGACCTGTGTAAAAGATTCCACCACAATATAACAACATACAGGTTTGAAATGACAAGAGTGAGTAAGAAATGATGGAATCGATATTTTGGGGGTGATTTTAATATTTAACAAGATGCTTTTGCTTTTTTTTTTGTCATATTTAAGACAGATATCAACGTATTTCTCATGGATAATTGTGACTTGTCACCAGGGTTTATCACCGATTCAGAGAGCAGTCCATGCAGAAGTCCTCAGGTTGACAGAGATTCGGGCTCTTTCAGCAGTCCGGCCTGGCCTAGTAAGGAATCAGACTCCCAGGAGGAGGCCTCTCCACGGCTGAGGCGAGGGCGCAGACGGACTGATGAAGCGTTGCTCCGAGACTGGAGCTTCGCTACTCCACCTACACCTCCCCCTCTCGATCCCCCCTCTACACCACCCCCTACCCCACCACCCACAGTACCCGTCCGCCGGCCGCGCGGCAGGCCTCGAATCAATCCTCTGCCTGAGGAGGTGGATGCGGACAAGGACAGGCCCACTGAGGGTGGAGACTCCTCTTCAATAAAGAAAAGGAAACGCTGCAAGAATCGTAAATATCAGAACGGGGAATACATCACAGAGAAGGATAAGGTGGCAGATGGAGAGGAGGAGAAGCTGGGCGTGGAAGATGGTAAGGCCACTATTGAGTAAAGATGTCTGAGGCTTGGTGAACATTTTGCTGAGAACGTCATTCTGTAATTTCCCTGCCTGGTCTTGATATTTAGTCCATGGGCTGCAGCTGAGGGTAACATAATTAAAATGTCAAATAAATTTTCCTTTGGGGAGCAATATCTAGCATGATTTAAACTTTCCAAAAAATCTTTAAGTTACAATTATTTACTGTTATTGAATGTGAAGATGTTCGTGAATTTCACGTACTGGGAATAAGATAGAACGGTGTAGCTCTTACTAAAATAGGAGTGTCCAATGTCTGAATGTGGGCGTTACCAAAGGTCTGTATGTCTGTGAATTACAAATTTACCCAACCTTCTCAGGAAAAAAAAATTGTTCTGTTTGAATAGGGCTGAGGTAGGGATGTTTTGGAAAGCGTTTTGGAGCGTTTGGAATTATTGAAAGCGATTTATTTAAAGTTACCACAAAATCAAAATGGATAATTCTTGTTTTTATGAAATATTGGAATGCTTATTGTAATTGTTTTTTTTATTCATCATGTGCCAACATAATATTTAATAAATATATCATCCACTTACACCCTTACTACGACATCTCTGCTCTGATGATGTGTTCACTTGCACGAGGACAGGACAAAAACCTCTCCTCTACAGCAACCTATCACTCACATGAGATCGCAGCAACAGCAAATGACAACAATCCCATCAATTCCGGAAAAACAAAATCAAGTCCTGCCCTGGTTTATTTTTGTCATTCGGTTCACTTGGATATGTTACAATATGTCTATCTATACTGCTTTAGGAATGATGTTATAAAAATGTCAATCTATGCCATTGCAGATGAGAAGATGGGTGTGTACCCTTGTCTCAGTGCCACGCTGACCAGCGAAGTGCCCAGTCCAGACATCAGCCCTAAGCGGACCCAATTCACACGTTCTGGCTTGGCACGACCTCAAGAGTGTCCTCCCGCCACACATCCTAATGACAAACCCTCAGGGAAGAGGAAGTTCAAAAGTAAACACTTATGTGACACAGACGAGCAGAAAAAGGTTAGCTGAAGCATCTTATCAAACTTTCAAGCATTTTGAAACTAGACCAATTAAACTGAAAATTGTGATATCAAGGGTTTTTTTCTTCCATTGCAAAGGTATACCTATTTTCAATTAGTCTTATGCTGCCTCCTAGTGGCTCTGTGAGTCACTAAAGCACTTTCCTACAACAGCTGTTTTTATCGGGACCACGTTACTGTTGCCCTCCCGACAATGTCACATCCCTCATGCATGACTCTCTTTGTCTTTATGTCTTTGTTTCAGCTCAAGACTAAGAAAGGCAGCTTGGGCAAACGCACAGGGCCCCTCATGCCAGACGAGGACAGTCCAGCCGCCAAGAAAACCTCAACTCTTTCTTATGCTACTTCCAAGCAGTCAAACTCTCCACTGTCTGGTAAAAAAGGAATAGCTGGGAAAACAGGAATCCCTGAAACTACTCCAAGCCGTCCAGTGCCTCCAGAAGTCCGTCGATTGATTGTGAATAAGAATGCAGGAGAGACGCTGTTGCAGAGAGCTGCTAGATTAGGTTACCAGGTAAAGCAACCCTTTTGGTTGTTAGCTGATATTGTAATCTTTATTATGAAATATATTCATATTTATTGTAAATTACAGAAAAGTTCTATCAATTAAAAAAGTGAATCCAGTGTTGTTTATTTTAATTTAACATTTTTATGATTTAATTATTAGCTTTTCATCAGTTCATAAACCTCTTGCAGGTCCCTCACAAACCACAGTTTGAGAAATGCTTATGTGAATAACTTGCTTTACAGCCCTATGAATATGATTGTTGGATCAATCAATCATTATTTATATAAATGTTTATTTTCAGGATGTGGTTTTATATTGCTTGGAAAAGGATGTGCGAGAGGTGAACCGTCGTGACAATGCGGGATACACGGCACTGCATGAGGCCTGTGCACGTGGCTGGACGCACATTGTACAGGTGCTGCTGAAGCACGGCGCAGATGTTAACTGCAGCGCACAGGATGGAACGCGGTGAGCAGCAGGTTACACTCGGGATATGATAGGATGATCAGCGCTTTATTTATTACTTGAAATATTCATTAGATGCCACCAAATTCAGCTTTGGGCTACTCATTTTTTAATTGTATAATGACAGTTTTGAGCTAGGTAGCTAATGGGCCATATCAGATTTAGGAGATGTATTTTTAGAATCAGACTCTATTTGTCCACCCACAGCTACAATGTGTCCAACAAACTGTCCAATTACGTTACTGTATGAAACTGCTTCCTCCTACCACTTCCTGTAAGAGTTTTGCCATGTCCGAGTTTGCTTTTTCATCATTGCAGCCCATTTGCAGTAACAATAGGCTTCATTTTAGATAGGGAATTCAGTATATTATGTACTGACTTGACTTTCAAACCGTTGTAGCCCAATTCATGATGCTGTAGCAGCTGACAATCTGGCAGCAGTCTGGATGCTGTTAAATCATGGAGCAGATCCCACACTGGCAACGTACTCTGGTCAGACCGCAGTTAAACTAGCCCAGAGTCCCGGGATGAAAACGTTCCTCAAAGGTAAAACCGCTTCATTTTCAAACAGTTTTTGCAAAATGATCTAAACAATCCTTCTGGAACATTGTTGCGATTTAAACTGTCTTTGTGATTGTTTATCCACAGAGTACTTCTCCGATTTAGAGGGACGGGCAGACCAAGATCCCAGTCTACATTGGGATTTCTACAGTAGCTCTGTATTTGGTAAGAAATTAAAATGAAATACTCTAATATTCAAAAGTTTGGGGTTAGAAAATAAATTAGTACTTTTATTCAGCAATTTAGATTGTTAGAGAAATGTTCAATTGCAAAGAAATGCTTTGCTTTTAAACATTGTGTTCATTGTTTCCACAAAAATATTAATCAGCACTGTTTACAACATAAGAAAAGTTTCTTGAGCACCATATCAGCATGTTAATAGGATTCCTGAAGGATCACGTGACACTGAAGACTGGATTAATGATGCTGAAAATACAGCATTGCATCACAGGAATAAATGTATTATGTTTACTGTATTTTGGGATCAAATAAATGCAGCCTTGGCTAGCATGAGAGACTTCTTTTTTTTAAAAACAATTGAATTTATTTTCATTTAATTGTATTTTTGAATGGTAATTTGTAGTGGATTTTAAGTTAGAGACCACCAGTGAAAAGCTTTTAATTCATTTTTGCAATTTAAATTGCAAAAATATATATTTTATGTTACCAATCAGCAGCATAAAAATGTAAGTAAAGTTTATTTGAAAGATTTACATCAGTTTGGTTCAGTATTGGCTTTAACTGGCATCGCTCTGATGATTTCAGAATAGAAGCAAGAAAATCTGACCTATTTTAATAGTTTTGATTAGTACCTATGAATAATGCAGCATATTAAATATTTCATATTCACAATACAATAGAAATACAGTTTTAGTTTCAATTTTGGATCCCCGATTTGAATATAGTCTCAGACATTATTGTATTGAATTTAATAATCCTTCTTCAAAATCCTCAAAAAAGTAAGCACAATTGATTGTCCAAGCGTCCCCCAATTCAAGCTGGAAGTGATCCAAGCTTTCAGTGACATAGCTGCCCACTAGAGGGTAGCAGAAGCACTATAAACACGCTGTGTTGAGGTCTTGTGACTAGAGGTTGACTTTTGTCTCTATTTGTTTTAAACAGAGACAGAAAAGGAACCTTGCTGGGACTTCCTGTTGTCTCAGCGTGAGGAAGAAGGCGGGGACAGCTTGAGCGAGCAGGTGAAGGAGAGAGATGCCGACTCTGACTGTCTTCTGTTTGAGTTTTCCTCTGAGCCCCTCCTGCCCTGCTACCATGTCCAAGTATCACTAACGCAGGGGTAAGTGGTAGCGTAAATATTTTTTTTTTTAAACATGATCATGACAACACCTAATCTATTTGTTTCCTCTCCACAGTTTTTGTAACTGGTTCTTGCTGGCAGACGTGCTGAAGCGCCTAAAGATGTCGGCACGCATTTTCCGGGCTCGATACCCTCAGTTCGAGGTGGCCAGCATCGCTCAGGCAGAGCTGTGGAAGCAGATCTCCGTCAGTCAAACGTGCGCCGCTTCGGACGAGCTCCGGCCGGGCGACGATGAAGACGGAGAGGAGACCGTGGAGCTGGTGCGCTGCGTGCCAGAGTTACAGGGGCAGCTAGGCTCCACCATACAGATCCTTCAAGAAGATGAGGACGACAATTCAGAGGTCAACACCAGACCCTGCAGTCGATAGCGACTCCTGCCCTACAGCGAGGTGCCGTCCGCAGTCGTGCTAGGTCCATTGCAACCGATGGCCTGTTACCAGTACCAGCACTTTGTATGTTCAGAATCAGCCAGAAAGGTCCTATTTCCTCACAGACGCCCTGAGCAATGAAAGGGGCCCTAGGGAGCGACTTTTCCATGCCCTCACCCCAGGGGGAAAGGCTGGGGGCGGACTCCACTGGGAAGCAGCTTTCAGGTTCCTTCTGTAGGGTTTTGTTTTTTCAGTATTCAATTTGTTTTTCGTTTTTTTTTTTTTTTAAATAAACCTATATGTATAAGTAAATATATATGTATATCTTGACATCAGGGTGAACGCAACTGGTTGTAACTTATCATTAACATGTTTTTATGTTCACTCATTATTGACTGTCCTTTAGAAGGAGTGGTAATCCAAGTCTTTTTTTTATCTTGGTAAAATACATGTGTGTAGCTAAGAGGCTTACGTCTAGCTAACAGTGGCAGGAATGCCTTTGGGCCAGATGGTTCCTGTGTAAACCATCAAGCCTCTCTCGGCTCCCAGAAGCCCCCTAACCTACAGCATATGTTCCATATCCCTGGCCCTCTTTACCTAAGCACCACTGCAGCTCTGCCAGGATCATTACACCTTCTCTTTGTTTCGTTTGTTCCTGTGACATCTGACGTCGCTTCGTTTTTGCTTTGGAAATCGGCAGGTCAATGAGCTGTTGGTTTTATCCGCTGGTTTAATTATTTTAAGATATCAGCAGAATCAGCCGATATCAACCTTGACCGTTAAGTGGTAAACAAAACAAAAAAAAGAGCCAGTGGAGTGTTTTTTTTTTAAAGATTTTTCTAGAGCTGTTTTTCTAGATTCCGTCTTGAACTGCTTTCCAGTGCTTCTGGAAGGGGTCCTCTCCAAGGTTTTCCTGGTGTACCAGATTCCAGCGTGCTTTGTGGCGCGTGGTGTGTTTTATTTTCACTGATTGTTGTTTGTGCTTAATTTAATAGTCATTAATATATTTGACCTTTTTTGTGTGTATCAAACAAATGATATATGAAAATTGCTTTGTATGGTTGGTGCTTTATTTGACAGTGTACAAATAATGATCCCTTTATCCTGAGGTTGTTTTGTTTTCCCACACTGCAAACAGTATTTTAACAGGCTAAAGTACAGTTTTATTGTACTGGTGCTAAGCTAGATTTTGTGTTGACAATCAATGAAGTTTTGTTTGAACTGAAACCAATAAATATTTAAATGAAGAGACAGAGATGTAAAGATAGAGTTTAGTTTCACTACTTATGGAAATGCAGAGAGACATGAAGAAAGTACTTGGCTTTTGGTTAAAGAAGGCATATTGCTTCAGTGATCTCTGTTCAAAGAGGAGAGCTGTTTATTTGTTTAGTTTTTTTTTTTTTTTTTTTTAGAAATCCACCAGAATAAAGCATGATTGTCAAGTCTTGCTTGTGATCTGCTGTATGTTTGTAACACCGGACAAGGTAAGCCCGCTGCATTAAATAATGTTTTGCATTATTATGATTAAAGATGACAAAGTTTATTTTTATTAATTTAAGGTAATACAAGAAGTGATGTTCCGCTTTTTACAGTCAAATTCTGTATTAATGTACATTAATAAAAATCATTCATATAGATTTTACCCACATTGCATAATAGAAATTATGTCGCCAACCAATAAAATGTAATTTAATCATTTTGGAAAAGAAAACATCGATTTCAAAAAGATCATTGTCCTCAAGGGGGCACTAGATACTAACAACATGACGTTAACGGGCAATGATCTGAGGGGAATCAAACTAAGTGATTGTTTTAAGCTGAAGATTAATTTAAATTTAATTGATTTTGTTTAATTAAATCGTTTAAATTATTACATAAATATGAAAAAAGATATACATTTACACATTTTAACGCGATACACTACGTTTTCGGGGTCCGTTTCTTTAAAGGAATTCATTATATTCAGCATGGATGCATTCAATCGATCAAACGTGATATTAAAGACATTAAAAGGCTGCAAAAGATTTATATTTCAAATAAAAACTGCACATTTTAATCATCACCTGAAGTAAATGAATCACGGTTTTCACAAAAATACTAAGCAGCATCTGTTTTCAATATTGACAATAATAAGAAATGTTTCTTAAGCAGGTACCAAATTCAATGATTTCTGAAGGATCGTGTGACACTGAAGGGAGTAGGCCTAATGATGCTGAAAATTCAGCTTTGCCATCACATGATTAAATTCGCCTGCATAATAAAAGTTAACTAGAAACAGTTATTTAAAATAATAGGTTAAAATTCACAATATTTTACTGTAGTTTTAGGAAATGCGCCCTATGTGAGCAAAAGATTTATTTCAAAACAAACAAAAAATCAGTAGCTAGGCTATAAACTTGCCTGAACACGCAATTCAAAGGTTTGGAGGACAGTTCGTTGCGGTAAAAGGTCAGTCAAAGTAGGTGATACTGGTTTTTGGAGGAAGGGACAATCAATTTGTTGAGAAACTAGTGCACTGCATATCCTACTCATGGGGAAAGACACGAGACAGCATTAAGAAATGAGAGTTGTCTGCGTAGACTATGGCCTCGGGAGACCCGGGTTATGCTGAGGTGAGGAAGTCAGATAATTCTTGAGTCAGGCTTTTTCTGAAACAGGGCCACATGCTTTACTGTCATAAAAGGTAATTAAACAATAAACCAGTCCTGATATTTACCTCTCGTACGCTATCTACGTTTTATATCTGAGAGTTAACAGATAACGCGGTCGCAGCATGCCTAAATGAATCACACAAAGTTTAGTTTGATTAATTTCGAGTCAATCCTCCATAAAATAACTTCGTTCACCCACAAATATTCCTCAGCCTATGAGTCGGTTAGTTTGGAATGTATCAGTGCGTCTTTACCTTTAAAAACCACAGTTTAGCTAGAAAATGGTAAATAACATGCGCATCTACGTAGCCTCACTCAGCTGTCGGTTCGTTTGGTTGCCTGGTGCTGAATTGAAGCAGTGGGATGGAAGAGAATGCTGAGTGGCCTGGGGGCCATTTATATGCAAAAGAACGAATAGAAATCGCAGCACGGTACAGCGGTGAGGTGTGTGGGAGAGAGTCAGTCATCATGAGGAAGATAAGTTAAGGATGCCGCTGGGGACAGGCTGAGACCGAATTAAAGCAGAATGCAACGAAATAACGACATGCTTCAATTAACACCTCGACTGTAACTCTGTAGGTGCCTCAAAACGAAAAGTAGACCCAGTGAGTCAGATTTCTTCAGAATCCTTAAGTCACTTCACGGATTTGTATAATAAAGGTTATTTATAGGCTGCTATTAATTATTAATGAATCAATATGCCTATTTTTAATTATCTTTTGGTTTCAGGTTTGCAGCTTCATTTTCAAGTTTTAATATAGCCTATATATATATATTTCAACTTAAAGTCGGAAGTTGTGCTGTTAGGTGTGTTAAACTTTAAGTCAGATTACGTCCAGCTCCACCTCTCTGGACGACTAGGGCCGGATAGAGTTGTGGGCAGGGTTAGGGTGTGGATATTCTAGCTCCACCGATTAAGCCCAAATTACATTCACTCATCCTTGCGGTGTCTAGACCAGAGTTTCCGCTAGAAAAAGGTTTCTTCCTCTTAATTAATCAAGTTGAGGAAAACTGTTGGCTATGTAACTTAAAAATGAACATATAGGATAATCAGGCCATATAGAATGCAGCATTATTAGCCTAACTTTCAAATGGACGAGAAAAAAAAAAATGAACGATTCGCGTCAATCAACAACATTGGTTTCACACACATTCACTTTTTGAAACATTGAGGCACGGATGTACCTAATACTAATAAATAAAAAATCTTCAGTATAGCAGATGATTCATTTATAGTTCACTATTAAATAAGAGGTCTAGCGCTTAAATTTGTTGTTTTTGAAATCAAGCCGAGCGCTCCTGTCCACTGCTATCAGTTGGATGGACAACGCGCTGCACAAGTTGCGCAATCTTCACTCGGGTAGAAAGTGTTTCAATCTATCGCCGCTGCGGAGACTCTCTAATCAGTCTGGTGAAATCACTAAATAAAATGCACACAAACGTGTCCCTGCTTGATATAGGCTGTAACCACTGTTGAATTCTTTATGTTGGCCTACTGCTTGATACAGCATCTGTCTGTACAAAAATAAAATACATAAGCCTATTTAAATAGTCTCCCAATGAAGTGGGGTGACTTTTTTTCAGTTTTATTTTGATAAACATGACACAAAATAACATTGTGACTACATGAAAAGAGCTTTTACTGTTATGAAAAATGCAGATAATTGAGCATTAGTGGAACTGAAGGTGTCAGAATGAACACGTCATCAGAGCTCTTGAGAAGCTGCTGCGACTTATTCAACCCTCTGCTCTCGAATCGCTCTAATGGTACTTTGATGCCATACGTCACAGTCGTGCCATCGGCACTGTCTCAAATCAGACAAAATTTCTAGCCGGCATGCCGGCATGTTTCAAGTCAGACACTGATCAGTCTGTGCATGAAGTCGAAACAAGCCTTTTAGTTTGTTCTTAGGACAGGGCTGGCTTTTTTGTCCATCAATTTGATTAGAATGTTGGATCATTGTCTATTGCTATTATGTGAGAGACAGGTTGTCCTGCCCTCGCGTCAGAATACTCATCATCAGAGAAGAGATGTTGCTGCAAGAGTTATTTTGAGTAAAGATTAAGAAGGTACGTTTAAAAAAAATTATAATGATGTGCATGTTCAAATGTGCAAACATAGGCTATTCATTTCAGTTGGTTGCCAAGGCAACCTTTATTATTTTCTTAATTATTTTTTTTTGTAGGGTTATAATTTTCTCATTTATCATATATATATATATATATATTTATTTCAGATTTATTTCAGTTACCTAAAATGATGTTTACTAGTTTTAGTTTACAGAAACCTGCATGCAAACCTTCAGGGATTGCTTTACAAAGCAAAGCAAATTACCTACTGGAGGTTACTACAGTTCACTGGTGTCACATAGATATTATAAAATGGACTACCACTTTATCGTTCCAAACTTTGGCTTATTGACACGATATTAAATCCATTTATCGAATGTTAACCAAAATGACCAGTCATGCTTTTTTTCTCTTACAAGCCCAATTGCATCATATGTGGACTCAGATTTCAGAGCCACTCCTTCACCAAACCCACAAGATCTATTACCTGCCATTGGCTGGCCCTTTTGGAGCTAAACCGTGATTGGTCTAAATCTAGGGCATGTCTTGACAAGACATACTACAGTTATATATGCACATGTGGCCATATGAAAGTAACTGCAGTGTTAAAAATAACATGGCAAAAGGAAAAAAGGTTTCAAACGGGCCTAATGCAGTATTTATTTTTCCCTAATACAGTACTATTTATTAAAATAATATTTATTAAAATAATAATATAATGCACATGTCGTTGACTAAATGCATTGACTAAATATCAGCTAAAGTCTAGAAGTAACTTAATTACATTAGTGGTTTATCTCCTATCTTAAATATCTATGTACAGGGGGACAAGAAGTGTTCGCCTTTGTTCAAACTGAGATTATGTAAGAGCTTTCCCACAAAGAGGCGGTCCTGCCAGCTTTACTTCTCTAAAACACCACCAGGGAACTTCCCTTTTAGCATTCTACTTTTATAGAGAAAGAGCAACAGTTAGAGAGGCCAGACAACCTGCGGGCATTGCTTACATGTTAATTAAGATACCCTTTCTCCTTGCCCTGGTTTACCCAAATTCAGTTTTCATCAGGGTTTACAGTATTTTAAAGCAATGAATGCGCACAGATCTATTCACTTAGTAACACTATGTTCTTATGTATCTTCAACAGATGTTTGTAGAGCTAACCTGGTTTTAGTTTAGCTCTTCAGAGATGCTGAGTAATGACTGAGCAATACCATCACTGATCAGTGCTGCTAATTCCATTCTTTATAATTATTTATAGCCTTGCATGGCTCCATAATCTGTTTCTATTTTGAATTGACTCATCTCTGCCATGGAACAAATATTCCTGGATGTTAAGTATAGGATATCATTCAAACATCATGACATGTGGCCCTTGTGAATCAAGATCACTGATCACGCACAGATCACACACATGAAGAGTGCCATGTTCAAACTTTCACACTGCCAGTTCGCGAGGTTTGGTGCAACATACAGGTGTTTTCTCAATTATGCTATAAAAATGGCAGATTTCAAACCTAGATAATTATCC